GAGGCTTGTGGTGAAAGTTTTTTCTCAAAAACAAGATGTTGATTATTTTGTTACATTTGCACCGGTAATGCGTATTTCTTCCATTCAAACTTTAATTGCCTTGGCTTCTATTCACAAACTTTTTATCTATCAAATGGATGTTAAAACTGCGCTTTTAAATGGTGAGCTAGAGGAAGAAATTTTTATGGTGCAACCGGAGGGTCATGTAGTTATTGGTCAGGAACACAAAGTGTGTAAGTTGGTCAAATTTCAATATGGTTTCAAACAAGCTTCAAAACAATGGAATGAAAAATTTGATGAAGTGTTATTTGCTCATGGTTTTACCTCACTAGAAGTAGATAAGTGTGTATACACTAAATATGAAAATGGTGTGTGCATTATTATTTGCTTATATGTGGATGATATATTAATTTTTAGGGGTTTTACTTGGATATTACTAATTTTGAACCAATTACCGAAAAAGTAACCACTTTTAAAAAGGGGCAAAAAAGTGATCAAAAATGTCATATATGTGCAATTAGAAAACATGATGTAGCTGCAAAAAATTTATGTCACTACGTGTTCGTTTTTTTTGTAACTACAACCACCACCCATGTCATTACAACCACCGCTTGTGTCACTGTAGCCACCGCCCGTGTCACTGTAGCCACCGCCCGTGTCACTGTAGCCACCGCCCGTGTCACTGTAGCCACCGCCCGTGTCACTGTAGCTACCGCCCGTGTCACTTTAGCCATCGCTCGTGTCACTTTAGCCACCACCCATGTCACGTTAGCCACAGTGACATTGCTAAAGTGATGCCTCCACAGTGACGCCGCCCAATTACTGTCGCCGCACTGCCGCATCGCCTCCGACCAACGGTACCACCGCTGGCAACCACCCCACTCATGCCCCTGCCTCACCCCAGCCCCAACCCTGTCTCACTCAACCCCCTGTCTCATCCAGTCCCCTCCCCCGCCTTACCTAGCATTTATCACAGCCCCAGTGGCCAGCCCCCTAGACTTTTCTCCAGGAAGCTAACCCACCTCCATAGCCCCAACCGTGGAAGCCCCAAATCGAGTAGTTATCCACCGACGAAGGCGGATCTAGCAGGGAAGCGCAATTCTAACCCTCGAAATCAGATCTCAAACTCTAGTCTAGGTCACAATCAAGCAATTGCAGATGTAGGGACGAAATCGATGTAGAAAGGAGATGAAGAAGAGTTATACAGTCGTGGTTGTTGTCTCCAAGGCTCGAGGCACAATTTCTAAACCCTAGCAGCCACCATCGCCGACGGAGTAGAGGTCGTCGGAGAAGAAGAAGAAGAGGGATGCAAAGGATGGTCGTTCGAAGAGGAAGGTGTACAGAGATCAAGAGAGAGAGATCGGGGCTGGTGTGGTCTCCTTCGCATCGTCGATTGCTGCTGGTAGATGGCGATTGCTGCTGGTAGATGTTGTAGATCGGGTTAGCTAAGAGGGAGACGAAGGAGTTGTGTTGAATTCTAAATCTCAATTTTGGAAATTCTAAAACCACTCATATTTTGGTCCATTAAAAGTGTGTAGCTAATATCCATGCTATTCTTTCTAATTTTTAGTAGCAACCTGAAGCTAATAAATGAGACAAAATCCTTTTTATTGCTTCAAAATTTGTTATGAAAGACTTGGAGGAAGCAAAAGTGATTTTGGGTATGAAAGTTATAAGGAAGGATGATGGTATTATACTGTCTCAAGAGCATTATGCTGAAAAACTTCTAAAGAGGTTTGGACATTTCGATGTCACCCCCGTGAGCACCCCTTATGACTCTCATATACACTTGAAAAAATATAGAGGTGATCCCGAGGCTCAATATGAGTATTCCCAAATTATTAGAAGTCTATTACACTTGATGAATTATACGAGGCCTGACATAGCTTATGTTGTCAGAAGATTGAGTCGATATACTCATAATCCAAGTGGGGATCATTGGACCGCGTTGAGGCTGTTACTCAAATATTTGAGAGGTACCATTAAGTATGGTATATTTTATAGTGGGTTACCCATTGTACTAGAGGGATAACACGATGCTAACTGGGTCTCTGACTCATATAAGATAAAATCCAACACTGGATATATATTCACCCTTGGAGGTGGTGCCATTACGTGGAAATCAACCAAACAAACTATAATTTCTAGATCCACTATAGAGTCCGAGCTTATCGCTTTGGAAATGGCCAGTAGTGAAGCGGAGTGGTTGAAAAATTTCTTAGCAGAAATTCTGATTGGTACAAAACCAACATCGTCTGTGTCTATTCATTGTGATTGCAGAAGTGCAATAGATATTGCTAAGACAATGTGTTATAATGGGAAGAATAGACACATCCGTTTAATACACAAAGTCATTAAATGATTATTGAAGAATGGAATTGTGTCCATTAATTTTGTGAGGTCACAAAGAAATTTAGCGGATCCTTTGACAAAAGCCCTATGACGAAAAATGATAACTCAAACATCTAAGGAGATGGGACTTGTGTCACTTTGAAACAAATGGGGATGGGAACCCAACTTGTGTGATTGGAGATCCCATAAAGCAAGTTCAAATGAGTAATAACAAGTCTTCCATTTAGTTGTGCTAGCATAACTAAAATTGTCCATTTCCATGATGTGAGATATAGGCTAGAAACCGCATTCTTTGAGAGGTGACTTAAAAGCTCTTAATGATTATCATAGCCCTTAATTTAGGGTGTTGTGCAAAAGGGGTACACACTTGATGATATCACCTATATGAGTGTGAGGTGGGGCCGCCTCCATGAAGCATGACAAAACTTTTAGAGCACTCATGAAAACCAAGCACGCGCATGGCCTTACGGCGCACAACGACTTAATAACGAGAAATTGTGTGGGGTGAGAGTGTGAGACACAACCATTAAGACCCTGATTTACCAAAAGTAGCTTGTTGGTTCAAGAAACTATACGTTTCACCAAAAGCTCGGTTTGTTAAAACTTAATCGTCTCGGTTTGGTTTCAAGTCTACATACATCAAACTTATAGTCTCATTCCTTTAATCCAGCAATAATTTTAAACTGATTTCATAATTTAAAAATATTCATTTGAAATATGTGGGAGATTATTGGAAATATTCAGAGTATTTCAAATGAATATTGCTTTATTAATCAATTTTATAAACTAGAAACTTTTCTATATTCCGTTAAAATTATATTTAATGTATTAAAAATATTAAGGGTCATTATGAATCTTTTAACAAATGAGGTCGTTGATATGTGAGTGAATGGGCCATAACGTTTTCAAACGTTTATATTATTAAATTTCCTAATAATGAATCTTTAAACAACAAAGGGAGTGGAGTAAATCATGTGCTCATCAACGTATATGCGTCGGAGTCACTAACGTTAACATTATTTATCATTTATGAATGTTAGTTTAACGTTCCAACCTGAGCAGCAACATTTTTACATGTATGTATATATATTTGAGTTCGGCCAGGAGCTTCTAAGTGAGACTGCTGATAATTTTTTGAGTTAGAACATCCCCTAATATTCTCACACTATGCTCGATTAATATAATTCCTCATTCTCGTTGTTCTATTACCGGCTTACGGCAAAGAGCTCGTTTTAACTTGGGAAAAGATTTTCGCTAGTCGGAAATACTTTTTGAGGTATTTATTAGGGGTTATTCCCTTAATATTACTAAATTAAAGCTATTTTTCAAAAAAGTAATCACATTTACATTTGGACAAAAATGTGACTAAAATAAAGTGACAATAAAATTCATGTCACTGTACAATTTTGATGTCACTTTCGGAAGTCAATGCCGCAATGTCACTATCACCGCCGCCGCCAGACACAGTGACACCGCGATAGTGATACCGCTTACTGCCCTTACCCTTCCCAATCCCCATGCCCATGCCACCGTCACAGTGACCCGCCCACTGTCGGTCGTCACCACCGGTCACCACCCGCCCTCACCACTCTGGCAACCGCCGGGGATCACTGCCCCTCCAACGAACCCCAAATTTCCGACACCACCCTACCCACACACCTGCCCCCTTGCCATGTTAGTCTACCCACTAGCCCAAACCGCCAGCCAGTCCCCCATCCCTGCACCATAGCTGCCCCATCTCCCAAAGTGTCGTTGCATCTCCCCAACCCAATCTTGTAGCGTCGCTGACTCGCTGCCCCGCCCTAGGAGCCGTCGCACAACGAACCCTAGGCAATTGACTTGCAGTCACAGAGTGATGAAATACACGAAGGGGAAAGGAATCGCACTTCGTTAGTCTCCAAATCCTAGCTTCGCCAGTCGCCAATCTTGGTCCGTCGTCCATCGAGCTGTCGTTCGTTGGCCACACAAGTAACAATGAAGCTCGTGATTAAGCCGAATGAAGGAGGAAGAGACGACTTTGACGGAGGCAGAAGCGACAGAGACCAATCCACGATGGAGGCGGAGACCAAGTGGAGTCAGAGAGCTATCAACGACGAAGAGCAACGTTCGAAGTGGACGACACTGTCTAACAACGAAGGAGACGAAGCGATGGAGAACGGGAAAGAAGGAACGATGGAGAAGGGGAGTAGATCCAGCGGAAGAAGGAACAACGCAGGTTGGTCTCAGATTAGTCACTTTTTTGTAAATTTCTAAAATGGTCATATTTTTGCCCATTCAAACCCTATAAGTAATATTTTTGCCATTGTTTCCATTTAATAAGACTAAATCTTAAATTCATGATTAAATCTTCACCCGTATGACATTGATTTCCAATATGAGGAACATTAAAATATGTTATAAACATCCTCTGAAGTAGGCTTGGACTCGGTGCGGGCCACTCGGCCCGGGAAACGGCCCGGCCCGCTACTGTGCGGGCCCGACCCGGCCCGGGAAACCAGGTCCAGTTCCGGTTCGGGCCTAGGCCCTAGGGGTCTACCGGTTCCGGGCACGAGTAAGGGAAAAGGGGAACCGGCCCGGCCAGGCCGGGCCCGGTTCGAGCCTTTTTTAATTTATTTTTTTGATTTTTTTGGTTTGGGCTGGGGTTATTTGGGAGGGGTATTTCCGAGGGGTTTGGGGGGTTGGGGTTTGGGGGTGGGGGTGAAATAAATAAGAATAAAAAAAATGAACCGGAACCGGCCCGGAACCGGCGGCCCGGCCCAAGTCCAAGCCTACTCTGAAGATAATTAAACAATTGAGATTGATATAATATTATTGATTGAAGATTGGTTATTTACATATAAATTTTTAGCAAATCTTTTTTATTTTGGGTTGATTAAAACTACAAACATAAAGATCAGTTTACCTTGCGTAGCACTTTATGACATCAACTAGGTTCCAAGTAGAAAATAAAATAGTAATTTTAGTTAATATTGGACATATTTTAAATATTGCATCATAGTACTGGACTTGTTTTAAATATTGCATCATAAGTGAAAAGTAAAAATCATGAATCAAGAACAGCAAAAATGTTAAATACCTGATTCAGAGAATGGAAGATATTTAAAAACAAGTACTACAATAACAATATTAAAGTGTTCAAAAGTACAAGGTTCAAAATCCAAAAGGTATGGAAGAAAGTAGGGATTAGCACACTTAATCTTCATCTTCAGCTTCATTCTCAGCGATGTTGAAATACCTCAACTCATAGACATTCTTATCCTTGTTTGAAGAAATGACACGGAGCCAGTCACGCACATTGTTCTTCTTTAGGTACTTCTTTGTCAAGTATTTCAAATACCTGTTAAATTGCAGCAGCCATCATCAAGTCAGCAGTTAGACATGTGTTGGTGTTTCCACTGCATTTGTGTTTACATTGCGTTTGAAAAGTGATTGATGTTAGAGATCATGAAAAAACACGATTAATGATGTTCAAAAATATAAGTGATTTTATAAAAGTAAGTGGGAGAGAAGGGTAAAGAGTTCCTTTTTGTGCATTCTTATAAAAAGTAGGTAAAATAAGTTTCAGTCACACTTCTCCTCTACTTACATGGGTTGAGTGTTTTCAACCTACTTTGAATTTCTCTTAAGCAAAAAACACAAAGTGCCAAGTATGTGAACTCCTGAAAGAAAAACTATACTCCCTCCGTCCCATTGGACTTTGACAACATTTCCATTTTGGTTGTCCTAAAAAACTTTGTTACTTTCACATTAAAGTAACTATTTTGTGGTTCTACTCATTTCTATCTCTTCTGCACAAACTTAAACCACACAATTTTTACTATTTTTATTTCTGACCTAATTTCAAAAGTGCAAAGTCGATTGGGACGAAGGTAGTACAACTTTACATTTTAGCCACCACATTTATAGGCTACCTGCCTCCATGTGTTGCCTAAATATGCATAATGGCACCATAAATATCCTTAAAGACAGAAACTTAGAGATAGAAGTTACAGTGGTTATCTACTTGACTAATTCTACATGGTAAACAACACAAGACCTCGGTATGACATCCATCTTTACGTTCAGAACTTTTAGGGTTCTTCTATAGATACAACATTGAATTGAATGTATGTAAATGATAAATCTGCTAAGCCTAATCAAAAAAGACAACTACTTTTGCATTAAAAAACCTGTAACCTGTGAAATTATTTGTGTAGTCACTTCTTAAACCAGACGAAAATCAACTTCAATGCATTTGCACAACTCAATACAGAGAGAAAAATGAGACTACCTCTTGGAAAAATTGGTATCACATGTGACGGTGATCTTTGTCTTCTCACGAGTGACGGTGACAGAGTCGCCGAGGGCTCCGGCCTTGCCGCCGACCTTGATGCGCTCCTGGAGGAACTTCTCGAGTGAGGCGATGTCCATGATCTTATCTTCGACTGGCTTGGAGCAGTCGATCACGAAGCTTGCTCCCTTCTTCTTCCCTCCCTTGACGACGCCTGTGCTGCCTTTGCTCATCTTGACTCTACTTTGCCTGCGAACATTTTCAACCATCGATTCCCATAAATATACAAACAGATATTACGAGAAAATGAGAGATTTAAGGGATGGGAATTGACTACCTGAGAAGAGTCGGCGAGTCGGCGACGACAGATGGAGCTTCAGCGGCGATGGAAATATGATAAAGAATTGCGATAGGTTTAGTGCGAGCAGATCTTGGGCTATCGGACCAAACTTATTTGTTTGATCTCTTTAATTGATCTTGGCTATCGGACCAAATAAAGAGATAAAACTTATTTGATCTCTTTATTTAAAAAACGACTTTAGACTTTTAGAGTAGCCCAAACTAAAAATCACTCACTTTGCACAAATAGCATCAAAAAATAATAAACAATTCGTAAAAATACTAAAAAATTAATAAAAATATTTCGATAATAATATTTTATTTATTTATTTTCAAAAATAAATAAATAAATGCCAATTTTTAGGAAAATGACATTTTTTCACCGCTCGGAGATGGTGGTGTAAGGAGGTAGTACAGGCAGTGAGAAAGGCATCCATATTGTTTTAATTTTTTTTATTTAAAAAACGACTTTAGAGTAGCCCAAACTAAAGGGTAACGTTAGGTTACTTAGCTGGTAATTTGATTGGTAACTTTGTTTTTTGGTTTATCAAACTTATCAATCAATTTTTTTTATCAAACGCATAACTTTTGGTTTGCGCGTTGTATTTTGTAATAATAAAAACTATACATTATTACTTTTTTGTTGTATTAGCTGAAGGAACTATAGATTATCATTTTTGTTAATTTTTTTCTTTAATTTATTAATAAAATATATTTTAAATATAAGTTTTTGCCTTTTGGTGTGGATATTACTAAAAAAGACAAAAGACAAAAAAGTGATATCTTTTTAGAAATTTCAAAAATGTGACCAACATCACAATTAAACCCTGCAGTTCAAAGTGACGTTGGTCAAAGTGACTCAGCCGCCACAGTGACTCCAACCATAGTGACTCCGGCCACAATGACTACTCACCCACCGACCACAATGAATTCATTGCGACTGCCGGCCCACCGGCCACAGTTACTCAGCCATAGTGACACGCCACACTGACGCCACCCCCACCCCCGGTCACCGCCCTAACCCTGAATCAACTCCCCCATCCCTCAGCTACCTCCCCAACCCCCTCCCAGCCCCCAACCACCTCCTCAGCCCCCTCTACATCACTGCCACCCCCCCTGATAAGTCTTTCTCCGTCTCCACCGTAGACCAGCCCGTCCAAACGCCCCACAGCTGCCTCAGGTCATCCCAATAGTTTTGCATGGCATCGGATAGCAGTGGAATCGATGGATCTTGCGTCAGACTTCTGGATCTAGATCTATCGCCGCTAAAGTAGATATTGTTGAGCCGTCACTCGCCACACATCATTATCAGTCGCTGCTAGCGTTCACCAAACATGGATGGATCTGGAGGATTTTGACGGTGTGACCGCCATCCACAGAGAAACGAGAAGAGAGGGAAGAAAGAAGAAGAATGGCAAATCTGTGTAATCGACGACGTGGATGAGGCAGATATTATGGTGGAGCTTTGGTGGTGTGGATGCGGCGGAGACCGGGTGGAGAGCAAGGGCCGTCGACCGGGAGAAAGGCACAGTAACGAGCAGATGCAGCGAATGAAACAGGGGAGAGGGAAACGCGCGGGAGAGCGACGAAAGTTTAATCACTTTTTTGTCCGTGTCAAAATGAGTCGTATTTTCTTCCATTAAAACTCCAGTAGTAATATTTGGACCATTTTTTCTTAATTTTTTTTCATAAATCAGCAGAATCAGTCAATTCAACTACTTCAACCGAAATTTCATAAACTTAAGCAGAATAAGCTAATATAGCCGATTTTTGTATTACCAAACCGGCTCTAAATTTCATTAATTTGGAATTCTGAGAATTTCATGAAACTACAGATGTCTCAATTAAGAACAAAATCCCTATGATTTAAAAAAAACGTCAAACTCCCTTGTGTTTTAATTAATTATGCACAAAATCCCTTCTATGAACAAATTCAATTGTCAAATATAAGAACAATGATTAACATTTTTGTATGATTTAGAGATTTTGACATATTTACTTGCATATTCAATCAGAAAATTAGGAAACGTGATCTCAAAATCATTAAATTTAGTCATAAAAGGGGTTCTGTGCATGATTAATTAAAATACAGGGGGTTTGACGCATTTTTCAAATCACATGGGGCTAATGCGCTGAATTTATATATCATAAGGGGGTTTGGTTCATTAAACCCCCATCATGTGTGGGTGGGCCTGGCCCGGCCCGCTAAAACGGGACTAACCACATGCCCATACCCGCCCGTAAGAGCAGGCCGGTTCGTTCACCGGGCCGCCGGCCCGGGAAAAGTTTAGTTTTTTCAAAATTATATGATTTAAAAAATAATTAATAAATGTGTATATGTAATAAATATACATGTGTATATGCAATAAATAAATAAATAAATAAATTAGTATATATAAATATATATGTTTATATATAATAAATGTAGCGGGCCGGGTTTATTGGCCTCAACGGGCCTACACCACAACCCAAGCCCGCCCATATCTTATTGCGGGCCAGACTCGAGCCGGGCCAGTGGGTAAATATATATGGTGAAGCCCTCCCATTTTGTATAGGTCTAATTTCATAGAATTTTGTTTGAATATAAGAGAATTTTGGAATATATGAGAGAGCAAAGCTTTCTCACTAGTTACAAACCAACGTATCATTTGATTCATTTCACAATCATGTGAAAATTTCCTTCTTCTCCAGATGCACATGTACAGCCGCACCCTTAGCTCACCCTCCATGATAAAAGCTTATGTTGTACGGACTACGGAGTATTTAAGAGCATTAATGAGAGAAAAAAGTTTTCAGGTTCCTCACTTACTGACTTACGTGTGATTTCACAGAGTCACATACGCTAAGCCAATTGTGAAAGCTTTCTTCTTCTCCGGTCGCACCTACGCAGAAATAAAAGCATTCTTCTTCTCTCTATATACCTCTCTTTCTTCTTTTAAGTGGAATCATCATTTCCGATTTCATCATTTATCACATGTGTCTTGTACTCTTGTATTTAAATGCACTACATATAAAAGAGAAGTATTCCCGCTCCTCGCATATAAGGATGTGACCATATATGAATTCCTTTGTGAGAAGCCGAGAGAGGACTCGTCTTGCAGTTACATACCCCATGACAATACTGCTTTATTTCAGATTTCACATGCCCATGTTACAGATATTTGCACCATCTCATAAGATGAATATTACAGCAAACTACAGGCTAGATGTGTGCTACTAACAGAAATTTGAGATTGAAAAGAAGAAAAAGAAGAAAGAAGCTACAACATATGAACTGCTCAGTTCGGGAATGATCAGTGTTGCATACACACATCAAGAAAACAGAATCTTCATTTCTTCTGTGAAACGGTGTCCAGTTGAAGAAACCTAGCATAACGGTCACTTTTCTCCATTTTGTGATCATAGTACTCCACCACTGCCGCCCCCGCTAATGCAGCTAGCGTAAAAGCCTGTGCGTGCAACCTAAAAATAGACTTGTAAATACACCCCTTCCCAAAATACAGTCATGTTTCATCAATGCACATTCTACTTTATTTCGGTAATCAACCAATAACATACAGTTCTAATAAATCATGAATGCTATTTATATTTTTAAAATTTATCATATGAATAAGAGCCCGTTTGGTTAGAGTACATGTGCTTGAATCTCTTTAGATTCCTTTAGTTATAGCTAGAAAACAGAAATCCTAATTGAAATACGTAGTATATCTTATCAATAACATAAATTTTATATGGGAAAAAGCTAGAATTGTTCTCTTCGGCCAGTTCAGCCAATTCATCCAAAAGAGCACGCCTGAAGCTTATCTTTTCATTACTAACCCATTCAGCACGTGCAAACCAAGAGTTATTGTTTAGTACGGAGTAAAGAACAGTTTCATAAGACTAATGAGCATAAATGGGCTTACAAAGCAGGCACTAGCTAAGTTTATCTTCTTTGTAATCCCCCAAACGTCTCAAAAACGCTAAACTAATACGGAGTACTAAACAAAAGAAAAGCCACATGCCAGTTCAGACTCATAAACACTAAACTAATACTCCGTAAGTGATAACCAATTCACAGTTTTCATATAATTGACAACCAAAACATACAATCATAAGCTCTTTAGGGCATTGCCTAACCTTCACTTGAAACATACAATCATAAGCTCTCTAAGATCCTGCTATGAATACTATAGAATTAAAACTCTTAGCTACAGTAGGGGAGGACTTTACCATGGTTAATACCAAAGAACAATCAAGATCCCATTATAACGTTTTGAGTATTACAATTAGTATGAGCAATAAGAAATTTATCATACTAGACATGAATCGTAATGTAGCTATAGATATTGAAAATTGAGAGACTTGAGAGTAAATATATAATGGCAAGTCCAGTGAGAATTCCAACCCTATGGACCTCTCAAAAGTAAATATAAATTGACAATTGATGATTAAAATTTACCCAAGCTACACCAAAAAGTCTAAAACCTTTATATTATGCATAAATGTATTGGAGCATACAACTTAGAAGAACAAAAAATAATCCCACAACATAATACTCCGTATCAATTTGACACCATTAAAAATATCTCAACTCATTGTTTCCCCTAGTATTTCTATATTTGTGTAATTATGTATGTATGTTGCAGGCACGTTTGAAATCTCATTATTCCTTCTTTAAAAGGTTGAGACTAGAAAGACATCCTGATCTTTTTTAAAAATTTAGACAGCTAATTGAAACTATAATTTTAATGACATAAATCATCTTCACAGTCCTTTAATCATAATCTTTAAAAATCGAGGATAAAAAGGTAAAAAAAAACAAAAACAGAAAGCAAAATGAAATGAAATTGAAAGAACCCAAACAGACAAATTTAAATTGCAGATAGAACAACGAAAAAGCAAGCACCTGGCATGGATAATTCTGACGCTGGTCTTCATATTGGGCTTTGACCAATTGTATGCAATAGATCCCGTGATACCGCTCAGCCACAAACATCCTTCAAACGAAATTAAAAAATTATTGTGAATAAATAAAAACCGTAGACGAAGAACTATTGCAGAAGAATCGAGAATCCATACCGACGGTGCGAAGCTTGTGCTCAGAAACCCACTCTTTGGCGGAATCGAAGATGGACTTGGGGGTAGACTGGGAATCTGCCATTTCTGGGCTGTTAAAGATGGGATGGAGAAATTCCTAGGGTTGAATGCTAAGAGAACGCCGAATATTATCAAGTAAAGGTGAAAATAAGATAAAATTGTTGACGAAGAAGGCAGAGGTGATGATGATCGTTCGGCGATGTATATAATCCGTGACCGTGAAGAATCCGGTGGGCGCGCATCTTTTTGGAATGAAGAATCAGCGCCACCTTGTCCATTGTTTTACCGGAATGAATATACAAATTCAAAATTAAAACTATTAATCCATTTTTTACTTGTTTTTTTTAAACAAGTGGCTTATATTAAAAAGAGAGAACGCAAACAGAGTAAAATTTGACTTTGAACTCAATGTCTATCGTCTTCCCTTGAACCAGATTTTGAACTTGTCATCTCTAACGAAGCAACTAGATTTGCTTATTCTGAATTGGGCTTGAGTCAAATAAGCCAATGACCAGTAAACTAAGTTCTTCATCTCTTGTCCTATGTTCTAGAGTTTTGACAAAACAAAAAACAACGACAACCAAAATCGCACGATGTCCAGCGCAAATAACTATAAAAATAAAATCATAATTAAAAGTGATAGAAACTTTAGATCTCCCTGTGATCCATAGCTTCACATGTTTTGGCGGGTCTGGGGATTCCAGCCCGCCTCCTCCCCTGTTGTTTGGATCTTTCAGAACCATGGCGTCCTCTCCTAGCTGCTTCAGCTCTTGTTCCTTTGCTTCCCATGTCCGCCTCCTCTTTTGTTCTTCGGTTCCATTGTTGCTTATCATTGCTTCCGCAATCTTAGAGGCATCTCCATCTTCGTGTTCCTGGTTATCCAGACGATGTTGTCCCTGATTCTGACTGCCAATGGAGTTGATATACATCCCTGCTTGGTCTCGTCCTATCCCTTTCTCACCTACTAGCCATTTATTCTCAATAGTTGGACGGGACCTCCCTCCTCCCGCCCGAAGCCAAGAGCCAAAGAGTCGCACAGACTCTCCATCGCCTTTATCATACAGAGATGGGCAGAATTTCTTAGCGTGTTCAATGACACCACAAGCAAAACAGAAGCTAGGTATTTTTTCATATTTGAAATCTACCCAATACTCTTCCCCTTTGCTCTTTTTCAAAGTAGTACCCACTTTTAAAGGTTTTTTCACACCAGTGTAACCCTGATTCTCATATTGGCTTCCCATTTTTCATCAAACTGTTTATCATCCCTCGATAAAAAATTTCCCAAGTAATTCCCTATCTTACGAGCATATCCGAGGTTTGAAAAGCCATACGGAATGTTATGAACCTGGACCCAAAAGTTAGTCGTATCTAGAGGTATTTTCTGAGGCAAATCACCCTGTTTAATAGCTTTTAACACTAGTAGATTCTGGTCGAACAACCGGGGACCATTATCCAGCACACGATTAGTATCAATCTTGTGGTAAAAAGTAAATAAATACCTCCTCCCCAATCTCCTGAATCAACACTCCTTTACCAGGACGCCAGAGAGACGCCATTAGGTCACGAAAAATTGGAAACTTCACCACTTTGCCGGTGAGAATCGTACCGACCACGGGAAAGTCCTCCACGCCCTTGCTCGCCGCGTCAGGGTCTTCTTCCTCGATGTCCTCGTCGTCCAGTAGCAGCTCATCCCATGTGCTTCCTATCCCCAATCCGTCGTATTGGGCGGTTAATTTATCCACACTCTTCCCAGCAACTGCCGCCACCGAAGTGTCTCTTTCCTCTACGGAAACTTCCTCCATCGTCTGAGAGACTGCTCCGCCGCCCCTCTGAAGGTCCATCCGACCTGTTGAATTCCTTGGTGCCGATCTGCTTGTCATCCTTCCTTTGCCGTTACCGCACTCTTACAGCGGAAGTTCTCAAACCCTATGAAGGTGTATATTTATATGGCTCGGGGACCCCCGACCCACAGACTCCTAATTCTCCTTCTCATGCCCATCAAGCCCAAAGAGTGTACAAAGCCTAGACATGGCGGCCCAAGTATCAAGGAACCCATAAATACACATGTGAGTGCCTTCGGCCTCCTTGGCCGAAGGCTCCAAACTCCAGGAAATAGCTGATCTTCTACATACAAAGCTACTCGGAGAAGGCGGCGAAATCAGGAGCCTTCAGTTCACAGGGGCCTTCGGCACGAGAGTAGCCTTCGGCTAAACAGAGCCCTCGGCATACTGTGGACTCATATACATCCCTGCTTGGTCTCATTTTATCCCTTTCTCACCTACTAGCCATTTATTGCCAATAGTTGGACGGGACCTCCCTCCTCCCGCCCGAAGCCAAGAGCCAAAGAGTCGCACATACTCTCCATCGCCTTTATTATACAGAGATGGGCATAATTTCTCAGCGTGTCCAATGGCACCACAAGCAAAGCAGAAGCTAGGTAGTTTTTCATATTTGAAATCTACCCAATACCATTCCCCTATGCTCTTTTTCAAAGTAGCACCCACTTTTAAAGGTTTCCTCACATCCAGTGTAACCCTGATTCTCATACAGGCTTCCCATTTTTCATCAAACTGTTTATCATCCCAGGATAAAAAAATTCCCAGGTAATTCCCTATCTTACAAGCATATCCAAGGTTTGAAAAGCCATACGGAATGTTATGAACCTGAACCCAAAAATCAACCGTATCTAGAGGTATTTTCTGAGGCAAATCACCATGTTTAATAGCTTTTAACACTAGCAGATTCTGGTCGAAAAACCAGGGACCATTATCCAACACACGATTCATATCAAACTTGTGGTAAAAAGTAAATAAATACCTCTTATCCCCCAATCTCCTGAATCAACACTCCTTTACCATGACGCCAGAGAGACGCCATTAGGTCACAAAAATTGGAAACTTCACCACTTTGTCGGAGATAATCGTACCGACCACGGGAAATTCCGCCACGCCCTTGCTCTCCGCGTCGGGGTCTTCTTCCTCGATGTCTTCGTCGCCCAGTAGAAGCTCATCCCCTGTGCTTCCTATCCCCAATCTGTCGTATTGGGCGGTTAATCTATCCACACAAGCCTCTATTTCCTCTACGGAAACTTCCTTCATCGTCTGAGAGACTGCTTCGCCGCCCCTCTGAAGGTCCACCCGACATGCTGAATTCCTTGGTGCTGATCTGCTTGCCATCCTTCCTTTGCCGTTACCGCACTCTTACGGCGGAAGTTGTCAAACCCTACGCAGAGGGATAGGCCTCGTCCCCACTTCTGTGTTTCAATCCCCTCTAAACCCATTTTTTTACTTAAAAAACATGATCTATATTTATTTTTAAATTTGAGAAAAAAACCGATTCAGTACACCAACGTGCAAGATGTAAAAAGAGAGTATGGATGTTTTATTTGGAATGTTTTCAATCTCAGACCATACCAGATGAAATCGGACAAGATCAGACTTACATTGTTATAAAATACACAGAGATCAATCATTTACCAGACTAATTCACACCAGATCAGACTAGACTTAAACAGACCAGACTAGAGATCAAATTTTAGTACAAGTAAAAATATGTTATATCAAATTACACCTCAAATGGAAAGGTACATATACTCACCTATTCTAGTGTTAAAGTAGTACTACCTCCGTTCCTATTAAAACTTCCAAATAGGTTTGGCACAGAGTTTAAGATAGTGGGTATTGTGTGGTGGAGAGTTGTGTAGAGGAGAGAGAAATGTGTAAGAAATGTTGTGAACCACAAATTCTTTACTAAAAAGGGAAAGTGGAAGTTTTAATTGGAACGGACGAAAAAGGAAAGTTGGAAGTTTATTTAGGAACGGAGGGAGTATATCAGTTAAATTAACACTAATAATTTTAATGTTATGTTTACCCGCCTATTTATCCATATAAGTTTATTTAGCAATATTTTTAGAAAAGCATTTATTATTTATTTATATGTATCTTAATGTGATATTAAGATAAATTATTTTGTTTGGATTTGAATTGTTGGTGATATCGGAAACTAGTATTTGTGTTATCGTTTATAATTTTTATTTTCGATTAATTTTATTTAAAAATATATTTTAAAATATAAAAGGACAATTTGATGGTTTCTCATTTGGCTTTAACCGACCCTATTCGAATTCGGACCGAAAGCAACATATAAACATCTGGCACATATCGATTATAACGGACCTTGTTGCGATACCTTATTGGCTTGTTTTCATAACCCCAAATCTTACGAGTAAATTTTAGATTTAAGAATTCTCGATCCAGGTTGGATTTGATTTCACCCCTTGATGGATTATAGAAATCCAAACTATATAATAAATGGAGAGATTTGAGCTCAAGAATGTGGAGAAGATGAATGAATAGTGGTATATGAATGAATTGTGAAATTATGTTTACAAGAACTCCCTAAGGGAGTATATATAGAAGAATATCCGGGTTTGGGCCTCTAATATGGGCCTGACAGACCCGGTTACATAAATGGACTGATAATATAAAAGACTAATCTAGAACACCTGAATAATAATAATAATAATGTACAATAATGAAAATGCTATCAGTTGAGTGTACGTGGGCCGCTGTCCGGGTCCAATAGTCGTGAGACCCGGGGGTCCGAGTCTATATACTCTATCAGGAGTCCCCCACTCTCTGAGTCGAGAGTATTCGAGGCGAAAGAGAGTAGAACTGTGTGTTGATCTGTCGTCGTCTGGTGAGTAAACTTCGTGAACAAAAATTTGAATTTTTGCTTCTTTGGTTAACGGAGGCGCTAAGTCCCCCGCTATTCCAGTCCCCCACTCCTTGAGGCGAGTGTAATGAGGTGAAGAGGAGTAGAGTAATGCGTGTCGGATGATGTCTTCAACAGGGGGCCGAGGGTTGACACCTTTTGATCCACGATGGGGAGATGCCTCGTTAAAAACCTCATTAGGAAAAACTTTGTGGGAAAAAAATCCTAATGGGGAGATGCCCCCAAAATGAAACAAAAGGTGTGAGCCCTTCGGCCTGGAGATGGAGCTGCAATGGTGCCCGTCTACTGGGGGATGGTCGAGGCCGATCTCTAGATGTGGGTAGCTCATCATGATCAGTAGTCCTAGTCATCAAATAAAGATGACTAAGGGATGGGTCGAGCGACCGTCCACAATATGATGTCTGGTTCATCAAATAAAGATGACCAAAACGTAAGGCCGATGGGCCGAGAGGCCTGTACGAGAGCTCCATGTTGTCGAATAAGGACGACGAGGCGATGTATGGCCGAGGGGCCTGCATAGAGCTCCACGTCGTCAAA